TCCCAGAATTCCTCAGCCAGCCTCCATTTTGTTTGTTAGATTTAAGCCAGGGGTCTTCACACTTGGCCCTTTTATGACTTGTGGACTTCATCTCCCAGAATTCCTCAGCCAGCCTCCATTTTGTTTGTTAGATTTAAGCCAGGGGTCTTCACACTTGGCCCTTTTATGACTTGTGGACTTCATCTCCCAGAATTCCTCAGCCAGCCTCCATTTTGTTTGTTAGATTTAAGACAGGGGTCTTCACACTTGGCCCTTTTATGACTTGTGGACTTCAACTCCCAGAATTCCTCAGCCAGCCTCCATTTTGTTTGTTAGATTTAAGCCAGGGGTCTTCACACTTGGCCCTTTTATGACTTGTGGACTTCAACTCCCAGAATTCCTCAGCCAGGCACGCTAGCTGAGGAATTTCTTGGAATTGATGTCCACAAGTCATAAAAGGGCCAAGTTTGAAGACCCCTGGCTTAAGCCAAACAAGCTTTCTTACAGGAATAGGTTAGTTTAATTCACATGGTCTCCTTCTAGAGTCTTAGTTAACCATCATCACGAGCTATTTCAATCTCTCTTAGACCCTGAAGAATTCATTCAGATTACTTCTTTTCCTCACGCGATTACGAAGGCTGCCAATTTCACACTGTTGCCTCACGTCCCAAATCTCTTACCTCTCCCTCTCCTTCAAACTGAATTTCTCTCAAATTCCTAGCCCAACTTTCTAGAAGAAGCTTCTCTAGAGCTGGTTGCTCAAATCCACAATTTGCATTATTTTTTTTAAAAATTGAAATACACAAAAATAATTGCGCGGGGTTTATTTTACTAGTGAAACGAAAACACAGTTTCTCCCATCATCGCTTAACTCAGTATGAGCTACAAACCACAAGAAGTTATCTTACCAGGATCGCTACTGGCCAGGATGCCCAGGGGATCTTTATCTGTCATGGAGTCTCCTGCATCTCCACGAGGTTCTCTTCTAAGCGTCTCCTCAGCTTCGTGGCTGTCGGAACCGGTCCCCGTCCAAGTGTTCGAGGGGACATCTTGGCTATTAGCAACATTCCTGGATTTATTCCAGCGCCGATTTGTTCTCCTCTGTGTGTTCCCTTGTTGCCTAGGACCTCCTCCATTTGGAGGTTTCCACATTCCCTTCATCTTGCTGAAAGACAAAACGTTTGTTCTAGACCACTTCTGCATTATGATTATGATTATTTTATTTTATTCAAATAATACAAACATAACATATAAATCTAAATACAAAACAGTATTAAAAATTACAAATACTACAGTGCATCCACACCCCTGGAGGCCATTTTTATTATTTATATATATATATTTTTAGATAAGATAAGATTAAAAAAATGTCATTTTTTTACTGCGGGCACAATGGCACACATCAAAAATGAAATGTAGTTGCCCGCTCTCAAAGGGAAACACGTACATGACGCACACCTAAACATACTATGAGCAACGTATGTATAGACCCACATCCCTACGTGTACGTAGCAAATAAATATTAAATACTGGCCATCTTGAATATATAACGGAAGGAGGAAGCTTGAGAGTTCACAAGGTTAATGCTGTATGGAACAACTAACAATATACAACATATTTCAATTGTGCCTTTATCCCCTCCAAAACAGCATGTATTCTTGAGCAGGTTTATTCCCTGCTCCAACACTGGAAGTTTTTAAGAAGAGACTGGACAGCCACTTGTCCGAAATGGTATAGGGTTTCCTGCCTGAGCAGGGGGTTGGACTCGATGACCTCCAAGGTCCCTTCCAATTTTACTATTATTATTATTATTATTATTATTATTATTATTATTATTATTATTATTATTATTATTATTATTATTATTATTATTATTACTCTCTTCTCTTTTAGCCAATTTCTGGCAAGAGGGCACTGCCTCTGAATCTTTAAAAGTGGAAGTTTTAAAGGGTTTTAAAGGGATCCACCTGCACCCATCCAGAGAACAGCCACACGCCCCAAACAGCAGCCCTTTTAAGATGATGCTTCCAACATTAGCTAAGAGTTCAAAGTAGGCCACAAAAGCTCAAAAAATTAGATTATTTTTTTTTAAAAAAGCAGGAGGGAACAGACTGGCTGATTGCCTTCCGAGTTTACTAAGTAGACCCAAGAGGCTGTAACAAAATCTTACCCAAATTGTAGAGTTGTCAGCACTTCTCCCCGACATTCTTTGTCCACCTTTAATGTTTTCTTCTTTTCGATATTTGACAAAGTTGGGAAATTTCTGCAGCGAGAAATTAGCAATCCATTCCGGGCAATAAAAGGCTCAGTAAATTTGACTATTGGGCCTCAACGTCCATCAAATTGCTACGTTCATTCATTCTTGGGGGCTCTTCACAACCTTAACTTAATCAGCTTTCCTCTACTACAGATAGTCCTCAACTTGCAAACCGATTGTTTAGTGTCCGCTTGAACTCACAACGGCACTGAAAAAAGGGGCTTAGGACCGGTTTTTTCACACTTATGACCGTTGCAGCATCCCTGTGGTCACGGGATCAAAATTCGGAGGCTTGGCAACTGGCATGGACTTGTGACGGTGGCCGCGTCCCGGGGTCATGTGATCCCCTTTTGTGACTTTTTTGATGAGCAAAGTCCATGGAGAAGCCAGATTCACTTAAATAACTGTGTTAATGACTGCAGTGACCCACTTAACAAGCGTAGCAAGAGAGGTCGTAAAATGGGGCAAAATTCACTTCTGTCTCGTTTAGCAGCGTAAGTTTTGGGCTCGGCTGTGGTGGTAAGTTGAGAATTGCTCCAGGAAAAAAAAACACCATATAAATCCTGCAAATTAAATTTACATTCTGCAAATCGGAGAGAGTATGTAATGTAAATTTAATTTGCAGGATTTATGTTTTGTTTTTTTCCCCTGGAGCAATTCTCAACTTACATTCTGCAAATCGGAGAGACCAAGGGAAATCATCAACACAATTAAAAAACGAAAATTAGAATATTTCGGACACGTGATGCGACACCCAGAAAAATACGGCCTACTCCATTTAATCCTCCAGGGAAAGACTGAAGGCAAACGAGGTCCAGGCAGAAGAAGAACATCGTGGCTTCAAAATCTCAGGGATTGGTTTGGACCAAACTCAGCAGCACTTTTTCGTGCGGCTGCTGATAAAAACAGGATCGCCACAATGATCGCCAACGTCCGATAACGGATATGGAAGAAGAAGAAGAAGAAGAAGGAGGAGGAGGAGGAGGAGGAGGAGGAGGAGGAGGGGANAAGAAGAAGAAGAAGAAGAAGAAGAAGAAGAAGAAGAAGAAGAAGAAGAAGAAGAAGAAGAAGAAGAAGAAGAAGAAGAAGAAGAAGAAGAAGAAGAAGAAGAAGAAATAATAATCATCGGAGAGACAGAACCAAGAGTAGTTTGGGGGGGTGGAATAAGAAAGGAAGGAAAAAAGTGAACACCTTCCTCTTCTGCCCTTAATAAACCAGCATTTGTATCGTTACCAATTAAGTCCACTTACTTTCTCCTTTCTTCTCTCCATCTAGCAATTTCATCCGGGGTATCTAATTTGATCCGCTTGGCACCGGGAGAGTGCATCTGAGGAGGAAGACACGAAAAACATCTCAAGGCGATAGGGAAGGTGCAGCTCTCTTAAAATTATTTGTTAAAAAAAAACCAAACCTGGTTAAAATAAGATGGGAGAAAACCACGACAATGGCTCCTGTTTCTACTATATTTCTCTTGTAGACAGTAATGGAAGGCAGTGCAATCTCTTACGAAGACTTTCTGAAGCTAAATAGGTATAACTCTTTGGAAGGAATGGTATAAGGTTTCCTGCCTGAGTAGGGGGTTGGACTAGATGACCTCCAAGGTCCCTTTCAACTTTATTATTACTATTACTATTACTATTATTATTATTACTATTACTATTATTATTATTACATTATTTATAATATCTCTGAACTGCTTTTACAGATTCCTTCCTTCCTTCCTCCCTCCCTCCCTCCCTCCCTCCCTCCCTTCCTTCCTTCCTTCCTTCCTCCCTTCTCCAACACTGGAGGTTTTTAAGAAGAGACTGGACAGCCATTTGTCTGAAATGGTATAAGGTTTCCTGCCTGAGTAGGGGGTTGGACTAGATGACCTCCAAGGTCCCTTTCAACTTTATTATTATTATTATTATTATTATTATTATTATTATTATTATTATTATTATTATTATTATTATTATTATTTATAATATCTCTGAACTGCTTCTTCAGATTCCTTCCTTCCTTCCTTCCTTCCTTCCTTCCTTCCTTCCTTCCTTTTTCCAAGATTCAAGGCAATTTTCATTGGTTGCATTACTGAAGGTTTTTTTTAAAGCAGTATCAAAGCATGCCCAAAGCTCATTGCTCAGCCTTCAAAACAGCTCCATAAAGGTGTTCTGCTGTTTATTCACTGTAACTGTTCGACAAACACTTGCAGATATGTCGGGCAAATTCCAAAAAAACCCCAAGATGTATAAGATAGGAAAACTCACAAGAAAAATTCTTAGAAAAGGGTTATCAATCTGAGCCAGGCAAATACGTACATTTTTCCAATGGATCTGAACCAGTTTCTCATGTGCTCTAAAGTTGCAGCCATCTTCAGTACACTGAAAGAATAAAGACATTACAATCAGTTTAGCAAGCTAAAAAAGTGGCAGTACATATTGAAATTACAATTTGATTTCTGCCTTTTCCCCCACCCTCTCCCTTTACTTCTTCTGCATCCTCCTCACTACTCATTCTCCTGTTTCAAAATGTATTTATTCTCTAATTCCAGGGATGTTTGCTGCTTAATTCTAGCTTAACTCAGCAATCTGTGATCATCATTATTCCGAATCTTGATATGGAAGACTGAAATAAATTTTAATTTTCAAACTGCGTAGGCGTGGGTCACTTCAGCAATCTCTGCTATCTATAGCTGGAATTCTACAGAATATAATTGCAACTCTACAGAAACTAAATCTGAGGTTAGCTGGGACACCAAATCTCCTTTCTGGAAAAGGGGATTCTCTTCCAGCTGGATGGAAAATTATCACCCAAGGTGGGGCAAACCAAAATCCTGCCTTGCGGTGCTTGTGTGGGAAACAGGCTTCTGTTTCAAGCTTCCACACCAGCTTTGAAAGGTTAGACTCCGTGATTATTCCACTCAATCATTTGTTCCATTTGTGCAACAGCTGTCTACAGCCATTATAACACACCTGCTTGTGCTGAGAGATGTGTTCCTCATATTTCTCCTTGTTTTTAAAGCCACGATCGCAGGTATCACAATAATGGGTAAACACCGGTTCCTTCCTCTTCTTGTTCTATAAAAAAGAAAAGAAAAGAGGCATTAATGGTGAGTTGTGGGACTGGCCCTGTTCCAAGGGGCTTACAACGAGTGCAAAAAAAATAACATGCCATCTCTGGCATCCCTAACCATCCCAAAGGATGCCTGAACAAATGTTATCAACCTTTAAATATAACCTTACGAAGGTGCCATTCGGTCACCACGACCAACCATGGTTTATTCCAAGAATGAGTATTTTCAGGAGGCCTTTGAAAACGATCAGAGCAAACCTTTGGAAGAATAGGTGGACAAAACGAGACCAGGATCATTCTGCTAACATGTCTCCAGCAAGATGGTAAGAGTCTACAATATTTTATTTATTCGTTTGTATCCTGCCTTTATTATCTTTATAAAATAACTCAAGGTGACGAATATATTCAACATACCTTCTCCTTCCTCTTTTCCCCACAACAATAACCCTGTGAGGTGGGTTGGGATGAGAGGGAGGGACTGGCCCAAAGTCACCCAGCGGGCTTTCATGGCTAAAGTGGGACTAGAACTCTTAGTCTCCCACTTTCTACTCTGGCGCCTTAACCACCAGTCCAGGGGTAGGCAACCTTGGCTCTTTTATGACTCATGGACTTCAACTCCCAGAATTCCTGAGCCAGCATGGGGAAAACTTTGGCCCCTTCATGACTCGTGGACTTCAACTCCCAGAATTCATGAGCCAGCATGTGGGAAACTTTGGCCCCCTCATGACTTGTGGACTTCAACTCCCAGAATTCCTGAGCCAGCATGGGGGAACTTTGGTCCCCTCATGACTCGTGGACTTCAACTCCCAGAATTCCTGAGCCAGCATGGGGGAACTATGGCCCCTTCATGACTCGTGGACTTCAACGCCCAGAATTCCTGAGCCAGCATGGGGGAAACCTTGGTCCCTTCATGACTCGTGGACTTCAACGCCCAGAATTCCTGAGCCAGCGTGGGGGAAACCTCTCCCTTTCCCCTCAGCATGGCTGGCTCAGGAATTCTGGGAGTTGAAGTCCACCAGTCATAAAAGGGCCAAGGTTGTCTACCCCTGCCCTAGACCAAAATGACTCTCATCTTTGCTTCCTTTCCTGCTTTGCTTGCTAAAAGAACAAAAGTGCCCCCAATCTGAACCGTTTTAGCGAAACAAAACAACCTCAAATCATGGCCTGTGAAACTAGTTCGTTTTAAAGAATCCATTGTTAAAACCAGGCACGCTTTAGCATTTGGACAAAGTGCTTATCTGCAGTCAATCCAAGCAGAAAGAGAGAGCTTCAGTCTTATTGCAGCCATCCTTGAAGGAAAGGGAAGGGTGTGTTATGAGTGCCGTTGTGTTCCTTTTGTGACGAAGAGGTGACTTATCCAAACAACCAAACACAACAACAAATAGTTCAGTCCCAGATGTACAAACAGAATGAGGTTCATTTATACTTCGGGGATTATCCACGCCCATCCCTGTAGCCAGGAGGAAGGATAAAGCTGATTTCACTTTAATAAACTCTTGGTGTTACCAGTGAACCAAGAATCACAATCGAAAAGGAATTCGCTACTGGGTCGTTCACAGGAGTCAGCTGTCTTTCTCAGGGACATTTAATACTTGGCACTTCTCCGCTAATATTTGTGGTTTTAAAACTGAATCTTGAATATTCTTCTCCATCGCACTGGTGGCATATATAAATCAAGTAATCCAATTAATTGATGAATTAAATCCTTTTTTTACATCAATTAGGAGCCCAATAAGCCGGAAGCTGCCCAGAGTCATTTGATACAAGATGGGCAGCAAATGAATTCAATAAATAAATAAATAAAACAAATACCAACTCCATTGAATCCCTACATCAGGGGTCTTCAAACGTGGCCCTTTGATGACTTGTGGACTTCAACTCCCAGAATTCCTCAGCCAGACATGCTGGCTGAGGTATTCTGGGAGTTGAAGTCCACAAGTCATCAAAGGGCCAAGTTTCAAGACCCTTGTCTTAAATCTAACAAACAAAATGGAGGCTGGCTGAGGAATTCTGGGAGCTGAAGTCCACAAGTCAACAAAGGGCCAAGTTTGAAGACCCCTGTCTTAAATCTAACAAACAAAATGGAGGCTGGCTGAGGAATTCTGGGAGCTGAAGTCCACAAGTCAACAAAGGGCCAAGTTTGAAGACCCCTGCCCTAGATTCTGGTTGATTTCCTTTTGGGAGAGAAATCAATTTCATCCAGGTTCTGTACTTTTTATGCAATTAGAATTAAATGACAGCTTAGCATGACATCACGATAGGCTACTGAATCCCCATTACATTATTTTTATTTTTCCTCAGTAGCAGGGAAAGGAGCCCAGCAGTTACAAAGGGAGAAGTCAAATTCTCTTCTTCATAACAAAAGAGCATTTATCGCACACGGTATGTTCCTATGTCCACAATGCTAACAACTATAAAAGTGGGATAAATATGTAAGGAGTACCAAACAGCTCAACAGTAATAGCACTTAGATCTATATACCAGTTCGCAGTGCTTTACAGCCCTCTCTAAGTGGTTTACAGAGTCAGCACATTGGCCCCAACAATCTGGGTTCTCATTTTATCAATCTCGGAAAGATGGGAGGCCGAGTCAGCCTTGAGCTGGTCAGGATCGAACTGCTGGCAGTCAGCAGAATTAGCCTGCAATGCTGCATTCTAACCACTGCACCAATCCAGCTCTTTCTGTCTATTGCGTGCTTATGAAAACGTCTCTGTTCCTTTTGTTGAAATCAGAAATACAAACAAAAGTGGCACCCTACAATTTACTCTCAATTTGCAATACCTTCTGTTTCTGCTTCCTGCCTTGACAGGCTCCAGCTTGTGGCGGTCCAGTTGGTTTCACCTGCCAGTCTTCAACAAAATGATGATGCCTGCCTTCAATTAGAATCCAGAATTAAGCGTTACAAAATAAAATAAACGGAAATAAAAATAGAAATCTAAATGCAGTTCTATTCAGGAAAGGAAAACACCGTGAACCCCGAGCGTAAACTCAACTTTCTCATAAAGGATGAATTAAAATTTTTTTGCTGCTCATCTGGCTGCCAAGTGACTCTGAGCAGCTTACAACAATGAAAGCGATAAAAAAAACACATATTTAACTATACACACATATACAGTTGCAAGAAAAAGTATGTGAACCCCTTGGGATAACGCGGAGTTTTGCATGAATTGGTCATAAAATGTGCTCTGAACGTCATCTAAGTCACAACAATAGAAAAACACAGTCTGCTGAAAATAATAATACACAAACATTACATGTTGCCATGGTTTAATTGAACATAACATGTAAACATTCAGAGTGCAGGGAGGAAAAAGTATGTGAACCGTTGGACTTAATAACTGGTTGACCCTCCTTTGGCAGCAATAACCTCAAACAAACGTTTCCTGTAGTTGCAGATCAGACCTGCACAACGATCTGGAGTAATTTTGGACCACTCCTCTTCACAAAACTGTTTCAGTGTAGCAATATTCTTGGGATGTCTGGTGTGAATCGCTCTCTTAAGGTCATGCCACAACATTTCAATCGGGTTGAGGTCAGGACTCTGACTGGGCCACTCTCGTAGGTCTTCTGAGAGCTCTTTTCTGCGAGGCATGGTTCATATCAGACAGTGCTTCTTGAAACCAGTAAACCCATAACAGGTGTGTGTTTTTAAAGGGCAGGACAGC